GGTCTTGACAGGAGGGTCATCTTTGTGGGTTGGACCGCCCCACAACTTGCGTACAACAACTCCTTGGAGCAACAACGGCCCCGCATGCAGCGGCTGGCCGGAAACAGGGGGTGTCGCGTTGTGCACATGCGGTGCCCAGGGCCCGGGGCCACACTGGCTGCACTGGCTGCGACCCAACCTCAAAAGCAAGATCCACCCCTGGGGCCCCCCGCCCACCCGGCTTCATGTCTCGGTGGAAGTAGCCGTGCTGGTGGATGTACGCCAGGCCTGTGGAGGGGGAGGGGCGGTCGAGAGTGTGTGTGCGGGCGTGTGGGTGGGCCCGCACCTGTGCGCGTGTGGACGCGGGTGCGTTGTGCATGCACGCATGCGCGCATCAGTGCGTACGCCTGTGCTTGCGTTCGCTTGACATGATTGTGTGTGTGTGTGTGAGGGGGGGGGGTGTGCACGCGCACAACCGCGCCTGTGGATTTGGGGGTCCAAGCAACTCATGCCTGTCAAGGGCCACCACAACAGGCCATGCAAATCAACAGAACCAGCCCGCACAGCAGCTGGCCGGGGCGGGTAGGCACGCACTGCAGCGCCCCTCCGCACCTTCCCAGAAGCCGCGTCCACCCCTGCGCCCCCCCCCCTGGTGCCTCACCCTGGAAGACCTGGTGGCACCACGCGCGTATGCGGGCCTCGGGGAAGAGCCTGTCGCGGTCCTTCATCAGCTGGTACAGGTTGCAGTCCTGGAGGGGGATTGTGTGTGTTGTGGGGCGTGTGCGTGAGTGTGTGCATTTGTGTGTGTGTGTGTGTGTGTGTTTGTGTGTGTTTTTGTGAGAGTGTGTGTGTGCGCATGCTTGTGTCTTTGTGTGTGTGTCAGGTGTGCGTGGGTATGTGAGTGCTGTGGGCAAAGGGGGGGAGGGAGCAGGTGTGAGGCGGAGGTCGCGGACGCAGCTTACTTGACTGTGACCTGGCTTGCATCCAAGTCCTGACGACGTCAGCTGCCGCGACAGCGGCAATCGTCACGCCCGCTGCAGTCGCTGCCCCTTGCCCGCCCGCTACCAACCGCCGTCCCCAACACCACCACCATCCTCCCTGTGACTCACCAGGAACTCAAACACGAAGAACAGCTCGTCATTTTCCCGAATGACCTCCTTCAGCTTCACAACATGGGGGTGGCTCAGCCGCCGCAGGGACTTGACCTGGGGGAAGGCGACAGGGCGTCCATGTGCTTGCGTTGGGGATGGTGTGTGCAGGTGCATGCGTCCAGTTGGGGGCCCAGAGGGTGCATGTGTGTGCATGTGCACGCGAGTGTGTTTATGTGTCAGCATGTGTGCCTGTGTGTGGGGGATTCGGGTCTGCTGATGGCAGCCGTCTGGGAAGCGTGCAGCGCGCCGCCTTGACCACGCGAGCAGGTGATGGCGCCGTGCGGGTCGGCGCCGTTCCCACCCGCCCCGAGTTACGTGAGCGTGCCGGCGCTGCTCAGCAAACTGGCGCCCTTTCCGCGACACGGCCGTGGCTGCAGGTACTGCTGCTGTGAACGCCGCTTTCCCCTGCTCCGCCGTCCATCCAACCAAGGCACGCCCGCTTCCACCCAGGCACAACAGGCCAGGCCCGGCCCTTCGAGGCGCAGCTACGCCCGACGCCCGGCGAAGGCTGTTCCTCTGACACCGCCGCTCCGCCCAACGCTGCCCCATCGCCCCGCCAGCCGCACGCACCTCCCGCAGGTTCATGCACTCGTCCTGGGGGTTCCGTGGTGCGTGTTTCAGAAGGGCCGCATGTGGGTAAAAGGGCCGGTGAGTGATTGGGGGTTGAATGCGCGAGCATGCTGCACACTTGTAGGCAGCGCAGCCTGTGAACAAGAGCTTGCCGTTGGGGCGGCAAGGCTTGTTGGCAGCCTGTGCGAGGTGCGCACCCAGCTGAAGAACTTGCGCTTCATCTTCTTGATGGCAACCTGGGGTTTGAGTGGGTCGTGGTTTTGGGGTGGGTGGCCCGACGTGTGCTGCTCAAAGTGAGGCGCCCCTCGGATTGTGTGAGACGCATATCGTGGCCTCGGAGCGCGATGTGGCGCCGATTTGAGCGAATCCCAGTTCTCACAACCGCTGCCATGAGAAGAGGCAGGGCGCGGCCTGCGCCGCGCCAACCGCGCCTGCATGCGCCCCCCTGCCTCGGCCGGCGCCGCGCCGCGTCCCTTCCCGCGGCCCGCACGCGGGGCGGCGCGGGCAGTTGGTGGTTTGCTTGCAGCTCACCACCTCATTGGTTTGCCGGTTGACGGCCTTCCACACATTGCCGTAAGTGCCGTCCCCCAGCTGCTTCATCACCCGATACCTGCCGAAGCCGCGATTGGGGGACCGGATGGCGAGCGCCGTCGCCTGGGGGCTTCGGAGCCAAGCAGGGCGCTCGCAGCTGCCGCAAGTGCTTTGCCAGGCAGGTGTAATGCAGGGCCGTTGATGTTGGGCAGGTCACCGTCTGACGGTAACCAGATGCCGCCTTGCGGCGCGGCGTCTTCGTTGCTTGTGTGCGCATATCACTCAACAGGACCACACTGGTAGTGGCCCAGGTCCCGCGCCGATGCTCGATCGTTTTCTTTCTCTACAAGCCACGAAGTACGCTCCAGGCACACACATAGCGTTTCTCGCATGACAAGCACAGCACCGAAACATCGCCCGCAGCTGCACCCGAGGCTTGCAGCAGGGACTACAATGCTCGAACACTCCCATATATATAGCCGGCACCACACACGCACCGATTCATGGTGCTGGGTCCCACTCCTCCTCCCCAGGGCGGGAGTTTGCGACCCGCCGCGCCCGAGCGCTCAAGCGGGGGTGGTTATACAGGCAACACCATATGAATCACCAACCAATACACGCCTAGCGCTTCCAACGTGCCGAGGCTAGATCGCGTTGAGAGTTTGTTTTAGTCCAGGGATGTGTAGGTTTCGTGGTGGAGAGTCGGAAATCAAAGCGGAAACTGTGAGTGTGTTCGAAGCAGGCCGGACGTGCTTGCACAGTCACTGTTTGTCGCGCGAGCCGCTCAAGCGGGCCGGTTCACGGCGCTTGAATCGCCGATAACTTTCTTCCGGCCGCCTAGGCACAGTTGCATGACAGATTTCTAGGACCACTTGCATCGTTCCAATGTGTACCTTGAGAAGAATAAAAGTGCATGCAGGCGCACGATGTTGGGCTGCACCCGCTCTGCTTTCAAGCCTCGTCCAACCCAGCCCTGTCAGCCTCGGAGGGGGGCTAGTCACGGGGCCTGCAACTGATGCGCTAGCGCTGGACAACAGAACAGGCCTGGTTTTACTGCAGGAGCCCTTGGCCATGCAGGCACGCAAGCGCTTGGGAGCCAATGCAATGGAGACAATACTGTACCCAGTGACCCTCTTGCTTGACTGATGTGTCCACTTGTCAAGCCTCAAAGTAGTACCTCACACTAACTCGCGCCGGTATGCTTGCGTGGGATGTGCTGGACGGACAGCTGTCAAAAAAAGTGTCATCAGTACTGATGTGCTGGTCAACGTGTCTGCATGATTGTGAAAAATTCAAGGAGGGCCAATGAGCGTGTGCACTCAAACGAGGTGATGGAGATGTTTTTGTGTATTGAGCAAATTAATTTGCACCACCCCAAATTACCCCTTACATCTGCACAATGGCCGGGGGCAGTGAAGCAATGCAATTTTTGCATTGCATGGTCCAAGGGAAATCCTGTGCAGAGCTTTGCGGTGTTCGAGGACCAGGGCAGTGCAACTTTTCGCCTAATCGCCCAAGGGCTGACTTGCACAGGCCATACGTGGCTGCACAACGAGCTGCACCGATGCACCGATCCAGCTGCCGGGCCTTTATCGGCTTCGCAGTCCTCTCTATGGCCCTCTTTCCCAAGCATCGGCTTGAAGCACCTGTGGGTGAGGTTCCTGGGCATGTATCAGCTCTGGACGGGGCATGCTGATTTGGGATAGTGGGAGTGCAGCGCGAGGCCGCCAGTCGCGAGCCCAGCCCAGCTCAGCCACGGGGCTTGTCATGCAGTAGCTTATTAGTGCTTGAGCTAGGTGGAGAACGACGACTCTCAGACAGGATGAGCAGAGATTGCAAACATCGACGAGGGGGAGTGGGACTCGAGGCCTGCCATCCAGGAACAAGCAAGATGCCAGTTATACTGGTGGCAGCAAGTGCCCTGGGACAGTTGATACCTCGGCGAGGGCCGGCAGACGGCTTGGTGGCAGCAGTGCGATCGCCGCCGCCCGCCGCAGCCGCTGCTGCTTCCACCTGAAGAGCCAGTGTCGGGGCCAGTGATGGGCTCTGCGCATCAGTCACACGCCATTCGTTACGATGGTCTTGCAGACCTGCACAGCGGCATGGCGTCGCCTGCTCGCCAAAGCCGAAGCACAGTACGGGCGTGCCAGGCATGCAGCCACGTGCAGCAGCAACCCTGCAGCGAGCGGCGATGCGACGATGGAGCTTTTTTCCTTTATTGCCTTGGACCTGGCCGAAGCTCCGTGGCCCCAGACGCCCCATGAGTGCCGGCTGCTACGCGCGGCCAGTAGGCGATCGCTGCTGAGAGGTTGACGGCGTCGCATGGCAGCGCTGGAGGCCGCGGCCGCTCACCTGTCATAGCAGCAGCAGCTACGGCTGCGACAGCAGCTGTGGCAGGAGCGGCAGCAGCAGCGGAAGCTGCGGCAGCAGCAGCAGCAGCAGCAGCGGCAGCAGCAGCGGCAGCAGCAGCGGCAGCTGCGGCAGCTGCGTCAGCTACGGCGGCGGCATCAAAGCAGCAGCGGCGGCATCAGCAGCATCCGCAGCTGCGGCAGCAGGAGCAGCACCAGCAGCAGCTGAGCAGCAATGTTGGCAGCGACACTCAGTTTGGTGTATGGCAGCCACAGCTAAGATTGGTATCACCTACTCCCTCCTTCCTGTATCACAAATTCCTGGAGGCCCCCACTGTTCTGACGTACCTGCCCCCTTCCTCCCTCGTGCCGCGCAGCACTCAGGGACCCCCCCTAACGCCGCAGCGCCGCAGCAGCCAAGATGGTGCAGAGGCTGACGTACCGCAGGCGCCACTGCTACAACAGCGCCTCCAACCGGACGCGCGTGGTCAAGACCCCGGGTGGGTTTGGTTCCTGGGGATTGCGACCCCACCCTCGAAGGACGGAGACCCTCGCAGTGCCTCAACAATATCCGATGTCATCCACATGTTCATCGCGAGGCGCTTTTCGGGCTTGTATTGTGTGCGGCATCACCTGGCCCGTGACTTGCCTCACAAGGCAGCTTTGGTCAAACCCGATTGTGCTTTAGGTGAAACCTCCCGCCCCTCCCCCTCCTGGGCACCCTGCAGGCGGCAAGCTGGTGGTGCAGTACCAGAAGAAGCCCACCAAGCACCCCAAGTGCGCCGCCACCGGCGTGCGGCTGCACGGGGTGAGTGCGCACGCGTGGGGCGCCGTTGCGGCGCGCTCTGAGTTGGTTCTGGCAGCGGCGCGGGACCGACGTGACATGTGCAGACCGCTGCAGCAGAGGCGGGCTGTGTGCCAAGGGCTGTGTGCGAAGGGCCCCCCGCTTCAATCAGGACACTGGTGTTGCTGTCTGCCCCCAAGGCACCGATTATCGTCTGATCCCCATCGACCTTGCTGACCTGCCCAACACACCGCCTTGTCTGCACCTGTCTGCGCAGCTGCCCCAGCGCCGCCCGGCGACTCTGGCGCGCCTGAGCAAGAGGCAGAAGTCGGTCAACCGCATCTATGGCGGCGCCCTGAGCCACGCCGTGGTCAAGGAGCGCATCGTGCGCGCCTTCCTCATTGAGGAGCAGAAGATCGTCAAGAAGGTGGGGGGGGGGGGCTTGGTGTACGCAAGCGCACTGATATGCGTGCTTGGGTGACTGTGGATATGGTGGTGGTGGTTGCTGCGTGGGGACGGGGGCCCTGGAGCGGCCCCAGGCTGCTGTGCGGGGCCATATATATGGCAGTGGCAGGGGGAGTGATCGCGACAATGCAGGCGGGGGGCTTGAGCAGCCTCGACGCCCTGGGACACCCGGCTCGCTCGCCTGGGCGCTCGGTCGCAACGCCCGCCTCTGAAAACTCAATCAAACAAACAGGTGCTGAAGCTGCAGGCCAAGAAGTGAGCGCATGTTTGGCTCGCCCGCACGGCCCTTGTAACTGGCGGTCCTTGGTTTCCCTTGCCTGGGTCCGTGCATCCACTCTAGGTCTGCCAGGCAGTCGCTGGCGGTGATGACCTGGAGGACACGTGGGCAGCCGGCTGTCGTCTAGGGCCGCTCTGATTGCAATGGTGGCAGGCAGGGGCAGCAGCTCGCAAACAGGGTGCAGCAAGATTGCTTCATTAAAAGTGGCTGGATTTCAAGCCTAAGCAGCAGTGCTAAAGCGGAGTGGGGTCCTGGAGCGAGACTGCACACACAAAGTCAATGCCACGAGGCTGAGCGCCCGAATAAACTTGACCATGCGACCCCTCCGCCGGACCGCATCTTGGACCTTGAAAATTCAGCTTAAAGCAGTTTGATCTCAGTCAAGCTCTGTGGTGGTCAAAATGTGTTGGGGGGTGCGGGCGCGATGCATGGCCCCCCCAGCTGCATCAGCATCAGCAGCATGGATCAATCGAGATGGGTACTCGCATGTCGCGCCAGCACGAGGCCAACATTCAATCAGACAAAGGGTTCTTGTCCATCAACATACACGTGCACAAGACTGGTATTGCTGATCCTGAAGACACAAGACACCCCGGGGCGACCTGATTCAGCATCCATGGCAACGTCTCGTGCCTGCCGCTGCCCCCTGGGCCAGCGCAATGATGCAATCGTACTGTCAAATCGAGTGCACGCCCGGGCGGGCCTTGGCTTGCCTGTCCGGTTGAGCAGCGTTCGCAGCAGCTCGCTGGCTCATTGCGCGCCGTCCGGGCTCGAGGGATCCTCTTCTACAAATGTCACCAGATTTCAGCGCCGGCTGCAGCTGACACGGGCTCCGAAGCATGGGGCGCGCATAGTCGCCGCCGCGGCGTCTTCGGATGCACTACCAGACCCAGAGGCCGCCAAGCAGCTGTGAGTGTCCTTGGTGGGAGCTTCAGAGAATTGGCTGCCAACAGAGAAGGGATGCGGCTGCAAATTGGGGTACGGCTACGGTCAAGCCTGATAGCTTCTGATGTGCATGCTTTTGCATGCATGTGTCCCTTTTGCACCACGCAGGCAGCAGCAGCAGCAACAGCAGCAGGCGGAGCAGCAGCAGCAGCAGGCGCAGCAGGGGCAGCAGCAGGCGGGGCGCAGCACGCTTTGGTGGTCTCTGGGCGCGCTCGCTGTTGTCGGCGCCCTGACAGCGGCTGCTGTCGCGTCGGGACACGCGGGCGCAATCAAGGTGGGCGTCGCGGCCCCGTCGCCGGGACCCTTGTGCGATTAGCATGCACTGCAGGAAACATCCCTCATTTGGGGTTAAATTTGCACACGCACAACTACACACGCACATGCATTTGGCATGCCCACAGGCATCGGCCTGCACGTGAGCATGCACACCGTGCCGTGCGTTCGCAAGTGGGTGGTCGATTTTCGCACACGCTTCCGTGCGCTTCTGGCACACGCACAGGGCATCACACCCACACCCACACCCCCACCCGGCCCCAGGCCTACCTGGTGGACGGCCCGCTGGGCCGCAGCGGCTTCCTCGCGGCCTTCAGCCTCATCTTCCTGAGCGAGATGGGGGACAAGACCTTCTTCATTGCCGCGCTGCTGGCCATGCGGCTCGGCAAGTGGGTGGCGCTTCGGATGCCGCGCGGCTGCCACGTGTCTGAGGTCCTTGTGAAGCATCCTCGTGCAGCTGTGCTGTCCAGGAGTTGTTCTTCTGTGTGGCGTGTTGCGCGAGCACGCGAGCGTGTGCGCTGACGCACATCCCTTTGTGTGCGCAGGGTGTGCAGGGTGTGAATGCATGCATGCGGCTGTGTGCGCGCTCGCATGTGTTTGTGTTGGAGTCATGCGCGCAGCGTGCTGGCAGGCCTGCGTTTCTTCAATCCTCTGCAACCACCCACTCCTGCCCGCCACGCAGGCTCGTGGCCTTTGTCGGCTCCGTCGCCGCCCTGGCGGCCATGACCGTCATCAGCGTGGCCATCGGCGTCGTCTTCTCGCGCGTGCCCGACGCGCTCATGACCAGCCTGCCCGTGGGCGAGATCGCGGGCGTCGCGCTGCTGGTCGTCTTTGGGCTGCGGTCACTCAAGGTGGGCGCTGAACAGGCTCCAGGCAAAACCGCTCGCAGGGCGCGCGCGGCCCTCGAGGGACCAGCCGCTGCTGCATCTCACCTAGTTGCTCGCAAACCGGCCCGTGGTTTGGCTTTGCACCAACGCTGGGCTGCTGAAAACGTGATCATGCGAGCATGCACCCAAGGGCATGCGCGCTGCCCGCCCCGACCGGCGCCTGCTCGCGCGCGCCCCCGCCCCCGTCCTCCCCAGGCCGCCGCCGCCGCCGAGCCGGACGGCGGTGCGGAGGACGAGCTGCAGGACGCGCGGTCGGTGGTGGACGAGGCCGAGAGCAGCGGCAAGGTGAAGGCCGGCAGCGGCAGGGGCGCGTCCTGGGCGAACCTTCTGGAGGTGGCGACGCTGGTGTTCCTGGCGGAGTGGGGCGACAGGAGCATGCTGGCCACGATCGCGCTGGCCGTGGCGCAGAGCCCGGTGGGCGTCGCCGTCGGCGCGACCGCCGGCCACGCGGCGGCGACGGCGATCGCGGTGGTGGGCGGCGCGATCGCGGGGCAGCACGTGAGCGAGCGGACGGTCAACGCGATCAGCGGGGTGCTGTTCCTCGTGTTTGCGGCCGCCACGGTGTTCAGCATGTTCTGAGGGCAGGCCGCAGGGGTCACGATCGCGTGATGCGTCGTGACCGGGAGCTCGGTTGAGGCGCGGCCCTGGGGCGCGGCCGGCGGCCGGCCCGTCAGTCGGGCGGGTTGGGGCGTGTTTGGTTGGAGCCCGCCTGCTTGGAGCCGGGCGCGCGTCTTTTTTGCTTGTGCGGCCACCTGCGCCTCGCGCGGCAGACTGCCAGGCGGAGTGTTGACCATTTCGTATTGCGCATTGGAGGAAGCCTTTTTTGCGGCGTTGCCGTGTGTTGCCGCGTTTTGCTGCATGCCGGCATTTTACTGGACACTGGCGGGTTTTGCGGCCCCCGCAGCTCGAAGGCAGCAAGCTGCGAGCGCGCAAGGCACATCCCGCCATTCGGCATCATCCTCCTGCCGGTTGGTTGCCACCCTGACGGCAAACGGGTCTTGTGAGACGAGCGTGCTTGGCGTCTGCATCTGGTCCCCTGTCATTGCCCGCGCCCCCCTTTTGCCTGTCTCAGCGGCAGGCTAGCTGTAACCTCACCCTCGTGACTGTCGGCTCCCTTGGGTCTTGTGTCATTGCACCTTTGCATGCCTGCACAAGCCGTTCACAGCAACCTGCTCTTGTGAAACCATAGGAAGCCACACACACGCACACACACGCACGCGCGCGCGCACACACACACACACGCACACACACGCACGCACACACACACACACACACACACACACACACACACACACACAAACACACAAACACACAAACACACAGTACCTTGCGCAGTCCCAGCCGAGATAGCAGGTGTCTGCCAGTTGGGCAAATTTCGTCTTAGCAGGAGTGGCAGCCCCTGCTGAATTCTGGCTTTCACCACCGACTTGCTCCCGCCCAGTTGCTGCCATCAGCCAGCCTCGCCGCAAGGGAAAGGATGGTGTTACAGTGTAAACAACAACACGGACCCCGCCCTGGCCTGGAAGGTACGCTTGTGCGTACGGGCGGGCACAACTGTTGGATTCAACGCCCCATTCTGTGCCCCGATGCGGCGCGCTGCGCGCCGCGGAGTGCTGAGCGCACCAGGATACGCAGGCAGAGGGGGACCGGGGCGGGCCAGGCGCGGTAGCAGGGGTTTGGAGCCGTGAGGCCAATGGTGGGCGCGCGACGCCGCGCGGCGACACTAGATCGAGACGCTTGCCCCAATTGAGAGGAGGCACGTGTGTGTTGTTGTTTTTGGGGGGCGCCACGGTCGGCAATCTGCCGGCGGCGGCCCTTGGGCAGGGGCGCCCGCTCGAACCCAATGGCGGCGCCTCACCAGCGTCGAAGGGACGGCGCAGCCGGGGGCGGCGAGCGGCCGAGGCCGGGGCAGCGCTCAGGGCCCGGAGGCTCGGAGCCCGATGCGGCATTTCATATCAACGGAAAACAGGAAGAGGCCCGGGAGGTGGGCCGACGCGGCAAGGATGGCCTTGCGGGGGGCCCGACGCTTGGGGCGACGCGCGAGGCTTGGTGGGTGGATCACGAAACGCTGCAAGAGGGGAGCGCAGGCGAAAGGCCAGGGCGGCGCGGCGGCGCGCACGCATGCTTCACGTGAGCGTGCAGGCGCGCCGCGTGGGAATTGCGCGGGTGTGAGGGCCGCCGTTGCGGCCGCGGCAGGCACGGCGGGCGTCGGCTGTGCTCCGGACGCGCAACGCTTGGGCCGATGGCCGGGCGTCAGGCGGTTGCTGTGGCCCATTCGTGACGGCGCACGGCAGTCGCCCGCTAGTTGCGGCGCCGCAGCACCCTCCCAACAATGTGCGTTATGCCGCAACATCTGGGCCGCGCCGGGCAACAACGGGGAAAGTGTTGCGGCCACTGCCTTGGTGGTGCGCGTGGCACCGCGTGGCCGCCGTAGCGAGCGGGCAGAGGGGCTGTGGCGCGGCCAACCGGCCGCCGCGCCTGCAGCCGCTGCCCAGCGCGCGGCCGTCGGTTGGGGCGCTGGGAAGCGCGGCGCCGACAGGGACCGGAGGAGGGAGGCTGTACGTAGTCGTCCCACTCTTCAGTTGCAAAGCACACGAATGCCCCATGTTTTGAAACCAAGCTGAAAGGGGAACAACCAATGCAGTGCCTCTCAAAGTCCAGCCAAACCACGAAGCACCCAACAAACAAACAAACCGCAGTTCAAAAGCGTGCGCGCTCTAAGCAGTGAGTGAGTGCGTGCATATGCCTGCATTCCTCCCTCTCCCGGCGCATCCAGGCAGGCAGGGGCGCGGGGCGGCCGCCCGCATGGCGGCGAGGCGCGAAAAGCTCGCTGCGGCGCCGCACTCAACCCGACCCAAGAGATGCGTGCTCAAGGCCGCCCGGCTGTGGCCTGGCGCCCTGTGCGCGGCCACGCGAATGCGCGCGCGCCGCTCGCGAGGCAGGCCTAGTTGGGCGGTGCTGGAAGTGAGCGGCGGCCCTGCAGCAGGGGCTCGAAGGCTGAGGGAGGGCGCGGCGGCAGCAGCAGCATGGCCTCGATTTCCTGGGGTTTTGGGTGGGGGTGAGCCGTGGCCGGGTGGATAGGGGGTGTCGTGAGCTTGGGGGCTGAGCGACAGCGCCGCGGCCGGCCGCTTGCCGTGTGCTCGAGCGGGACTGATAACAACACACACCATAGTCCGCCACTTACTGTACATGCAGACAGGCACGCATGCACCGCAACATGCACGATAGGACGCACCCACCAACACACGGACACACACACACACACACACACACACACACACACACACACACACACACACAC